ATGCTCTAGTCTAGATATTGTTTGACATTTTTTTGAATCTTTGTTGTTCGGTCACACTTTACATTAGGGCTTCATTAGTTAACATTAGTTAATTCAGTTAACAAACTGCCAATGAAAAATTCTTCCAACATTCATTAATCTTAGGTAATTACAATATTTAATAACACATTGTTGTTAAAATCAAAAGTTGCAACTGTATTATTTAATGAGCTAACATGAACTAAGAGTTGTATTTTTTTTTTTTAAAGATTAGCTTCTGTAGCAAATGTAGCTATTGCTCATTGTGAATGTTAATGCATTATCTAAGGTTAACTAATGAGGTCTTATTGTAAAGTGATACCTATTGGTTTTTATAGTTCTTTTGCACTTTAATGTATAACTTTTTTTTATTTAAATGTTCAGTTATTCTGATATAAGAAAAAAGTTATTAAACCTGTTATACTGTATTGTGACAACACTTTAAAAAAAATACAATTTCAATATCGTGATAATACTGTATACCGTGATAAAAGCATATTGTTGTTAAAATCAAAAGTTGCAACTGTATTATTTAATGAGCTAACATGAACTAAGAGTTGTATTTTTTTTTTTTAAAGATTAGCTTCTGTAGCAAATGTAGCTATTGCTCATTGTGAATGTTAATGCATTATCTAAGGTTAACTAATGAGGTCTTATTGTAAAGTGATACCTATTGGTTTTTATAGTTCTTTTGCACTTTAATGTATAACTTTTTTTTATTTAAATGTTCAGTTATTCTGATATAAGAAAAAAGTTATTAAACCTGTTATACTGTATTGTGACAACACTTAAAAAAAATAAAATTTCAATATCGTGATAATACTGTATACCGTGATAAAAGCATTAGCAATTAATCGCAACATGAAAATTTGATACCGGCATATCCCTAATATATAAGTATATTTTAAATATATTCGGCCACTTATATGAGCTTAATGTGAGTGTACATCGTTTTAATTTATTAAAATATTCTTTAAAAGATCTATACAATTATTTATCTGTAAAACGGTTTAAAGCGGTCATATGATGTTCCTAAAAAGAACACTATGTTGTGTATTTGGTGTAACGCATTTGTTTATGCGGTTTAAGGTTCAAAAAACACATTTTCCACATAATGTACATTATTGTTTTTCCTCTATGCCCCGCCTTTCAGAAACGCGTCGATTTTTACAAAGCTCATCATTCTGAAAAGCGAGGTGTGCTCTGATTGGCCAGCTATCCAGTGCGTTGTGATTGGCCGAATACCTCAAGCGTGTGACGGAAAGGTTACATCCCTTAACATACGGTGTTGCCATCTCCCGGCACTACGAGACAAAACCAATAAAACCCATTACAAACTAGGTAATTGTGCATCCAGTGGGGACATAATTACTGATTATAATGACTTATACTGTGTTTTTACGTGTTGCGTAAACATAAAACCAGACCCGGCGCCAGACACAAATTCACGGACGGGCATTTAATTTTTTCAGGGGGGCACAAATGAGATCAACCTCATTGCAATGCATAATATCATTAATTATGAATTAAATGGACAAAAAACGAGGAAGACTTGACGTACCACTCCATTGACGCAATACAACAGAGTAACAATAACAATCACCAAAACGCGATAATGATTCTGCATCATTTAGTCTAAATGGCGATCTATAATGCATAATGTAATGACGCTAACTAGGCTGCGCTGCCTCTCTCGAGGAGAAATCGAAACGTTTAGTGTGCGTCGTCTCTTATTTGGCACAGGCTCTATTGTTGCATCCTTGCAACGCTTCAAGAGTGTCACAAATTCCGTCTCAGAACGGAGATTTTCAATACACGTACATGCTGAATTTACAAGTTGCACACCTGTTAACAGATCCATGTCTTCTGCCTGTAGCATCAGATTAGGGGGGTCGAGATACGATAAGATTTTGTGCACCATCTCTGCAATGAACCTAAAGCTGGGTTCAGACATGGCCCGTAGTAAACCTGCTGCTTCAACTCGCACATCTGCTCCATAGGCTGGGCTGCTGTTGATTTCTCGGAGCAGTGTGGATAGGTCATCAAATGATCTCAGAATAACGGAGACCGTGCCAAAATGACCAGTCCAGCGTTGGTCTAGGAGGCGCTTCAATGTCTCTCCCTTGTAGAGAATGGCAACGGTAGGCTTTCTGCAGAATTTGTAGAGCATGTTACACATAGTGAAAAAGTCCACCAAGGCCTGCTCTGCTGCCAAAGCATGGGTGACCACCAAATGTAATTGGTGGTTGAAACAGTGGACATAGGGTATATCGCGGTGCAATTTTTGTTGGAGACGTTTTTGCACCCCTCCATGTTTACCTGACATCAGGGAGGCGCCGTCATACACCTGACTGAGGATTTTCCCAGAACTCAGTCCTGCTTTTGTTCATTCTTCAATTATCGTGTCAGTCAGTGTTTCTGCGTCTCCCTGGTCAGCTGTGGCAATTGTCAGAAGACGTTCAGTTGGCTCATTCAGTTCATTCACAAAACGCACAACTATCGAAATATTCTCTCTTCCTGTCGGGTCTCGAGTTCCATCCACTTTTATCGTAAAAAATGACTCGCCAACCTCTTTCACTATGTGCTCCGTGACCAAAGTACTCATTATCTCTATCAAACTGTTTTGGATGTCATGGCTAGTATACCTAGCATTGTGTGGGATAGTCTGCGCTATCTTGGCCAACACAGCATCTTTCCTCAAAGTATATTCAAATAAGGACAAAAATAATCCGCATCCATCTTCAGCCATACAATCAAAAGCATCATGGTCACCTCTAAAAGGTAGCTGGTTCACTGCAAGGAACTCGATGACATCGATTACTGATGATAAGTAGTATCTATTGCATTCCAAATGTTCTGCATTGATTAAAGTTGTGATTTCTTTACCGGTCTGAATCCGTCTTTCCTTGTCCCTCCACATAGCTTCACAAGT